TGAAGAGTTCACAGAAATGCTATCAATGATTTCCTCAGAGTTTGACTGTTTTGCTATTGTAGGGGATTTTAATATTCACATAGATAATGCAGAAAACAAAACTACAAAAGAAATTATAACTGTTTTAAATACTTTTGACCTGATTCAGCATGTGCTTGAACCCACACACAATCGTGGACATACTCTAGATTTAATCATCAGTAGAGGTCTAAACATTTCATCCATTGTTATTAAGGACGTAGCACTATCGGATCACTTCTGTATTTTCTTTGATATATTGATCTCTGCTACCACTGAATCTAGATCTGTCGCTGTCAGAAAGAGATGCATTAACGAAAACACTAGTGTGCGATTTATGGAGGCTATATCTTTGACACCAAGCATTTCTGCAGACTCTGTTGATCTTCTCCTTGATTCCTTTAACTCAAAAGTTAAGAATGTTATTGATGACATTGCTCCTGTGAAAGTCAGCAATAAGACTGGCAGACAGAAATCAGCTTTTGTAGAAAATCAACAGCAGTTCAGAGACTCATCCAGAACGCTGCTGCCAGAATTCTGACTAGAACCAGAAAATCTGAGCATATTACACCAGTCCTCAGGTCCTTACACTGGCTTCCAGTTATATTTAGGATTGATTTTAAAGTACTTTTACTCGTTTATAAATCACTCAATGGCCTAGGACCTAAATACATGGCAGATATGTTCACTGAATATAAACCTAACAGACCACTCAGATCATTAGGATCAAATCAGTTAGAAATACCAAGGGTTCACACAAAACAAGGGGAGTCTGCTTTTAGTTATTATGCCGCCCGCAGTTGGAATCAGCTTCCAGAAGAGATCAGATGTGCTAAAACATTAGTCACATTTAAATGCAGACTCAAAACTCATCTGTTTAGCTGTGCATTTATTGAATGAGCACTGTGCGATGTCCGAACTGATTGCACTATATTTTATGTATAATCGTTTTCTTAAATTCATTTTAAACCTCTTAAATCAATTTTTTTAAATCATTTTCAAATTTTTTAAATTCCTTGTTTTATTGTTGTGATTATGATTTTTATTTTATTTTTATTTTTTTCCTTTTCTTTTATGTAAAGGACTTTGAATTACCATTGTGTATGAAATGTGCTATATAAATAAACTTGCCTTGCCTTGCTTTGAACTATTTTTGGCAACCCAAAAAGAGTGAAGAACTTAATGAGTGCCTTGACAATCGCTCTTGCATTAATGGAACATAAAGGAACCGCTTCTGGAAAACGTGTAACCGCGCACATTATCGTCAACAGATAACGGTGACCAGACTTTGATCGCAGAAGCGGCCCTACACAGTCCAGTAAAATGTGCTCAAAAGGTTCACCCACCGTAGGGATGGGATATAGTGGAGCAGGTTTGATAGTTTGGTTGGGCTTACCAACCACTTGACACACGTGACAAGAGTGACAATACCGTGTTACGTCTTTCTTAAGACCGGGCCAATAAAAGTTTCACAAAATCCGGTCATATGTTTTTGTCACGCCTAAGTGACCAGCGGAACCATCGTGTGCCAGACTTAAAATCATGTCGTGGTACATTTCCGGCACTACAATTTGAGTGACAATTTTCGTCTCCACAAATATTACGAGGTGACCATTTTCTCATCAAAACTAGATTTTGAGAAAGTAACCCCGACATGGATCCTGAATTTCTTTCTCTCGTTGAATGGATTAGAACAATGGGGCGAGAGAAAAATCTGACTTTTGCGCTTCAATTAATTTATCGCACGTTAATGGAATGTCTAAACCTTTAAAATCTTCTTTCTTTCAAGATAAGAGACAAATCTGATTTTTCCTTCGAGGAAACTGTAAAAATTTCACTTTCAGTCGCAAGGAAAGTATCAGCCAAATCTATTTTCTTTGAGGCGAGACTATCCGAATTCGACAGAGCGCATAACTACACATGCAGAGAAAACGTCAGGATAATCCTTTTCGCACTCATCCGTGGTCGACACTAGAGGAATGGGAACCACTTCAGGCAAGACATTTCGGCAACACCACACATTACAACCAGCTAAATCGTTACCTAATATGAAGGTTACGCCAGGAACTGGAAGAGATGGTCGAACACCAACAACCACCTCCTGACACCAAATCTGACTTCAGTGTACAGTGTACAGTTACATTCTGTGTAACTGCACTTCCATAACCGCCATTTCAAAACCTCGGACGATTACTGCACTACCAGTGGCAGTTTCCCCGGACAAGGGCAGTACTCCTTCCAGGATAAATGACTGAGCTGCACCTGTATCTCGGAGAGTGCAAACAGGTACAGGCTTACATATATTTACAACACGGTTCCATCATGCAGGAAAGGTCCATAACCAGTTTCATCACGGCATATGGAGCTTTCTAAGGAGATGTCAGTGGGCTTCGACCTTAAGTCAACCGTTGCTAAACCAACAGGTTTTGTGCTTGACTTTTTTTTGAGGACCGGACAGTTCGCAATCAGATGTCCTGTTGTTTTACAATAAAAATTGTAAAACATATTACCTGACAAATTTCGAGGTGCTATCGCCGACGGCATGG